TACCAGCCTCAGCAGGCGAGTCTCCGGCTCCTCTGCTCCCTCCTCCTCCTCCTCCTTCTCCTCTTCCTCCTCCATTTGGAGGGTCGCTCTCATCTCTCCGCAGCAGGTAAGGCCGCGACCCCCGGGGAAGCAGGGCTGGGCTGGCCGGAGGGACAAGGCGTCGCTGCCACCGGCCACCTGTGGGGCAGGCGTGAGCGTGGGAGCAGCAGGCTGCGAGGGCGGCCGGGCTGTCAGAGCGCCCCGGCTCTGCGCTGGGGAGAGGTAGCCGGTCTCTGGTCCTCGGCCCCGCACGGGGGACCCCCCGAGCTGACGAGTGCCAGTCCCAGGGTGCTTCGGAGAGGTGACGGTGAAGGACCACCACCGCCAAGATGGAGGTGGGGAGCCGGGAGGGGCCGCAGCTCGAGCGGGGGTCAGGACAGATGCTGGCTCCCACTCTCCTCCAAATGGGAGTCTCTGGGCGCTGGGGGTGCCGGGCAGGGTGGGGTGAGCAGAGCAGCTGCCCTGAGCTTGGAGACAGGAAGGGTTTGCGAGCAAAACAAGAAAAGACCAAGTTCCCCTTTCCGTGGTTTCCGGGCCTGGTACCTGCGGTGGGGGAGGAGGCAGGGTGGGGCTATGGCTTCCTGTCCCCCACCTCTAGTTTGGGGCTCCCCTTTCCCCAAACCCAGGCTGCTCACCTGAGACTGATGCCTTCACCCCAAAGCTTGATCTCTTCACACCTGCTCCTCTCCTGCTCTTCGGGCAGTCAGACTTAGGAGCCTCCTTGGGGGTGCCAGGGCGGGCAAGGGGGCTGCAGCCTCTGTGATAGGGGCCAGGCCTGAAGGCTGGAGAGACAGACAGGCAGAGGGTGTGGGCTCCGGCACTGAGCTGGAAGGTAATGTGGGGGGGCACCAGGATCAGGGGACCCTGGAGCCAGGAAAAGCCGGAGGTGAGCCCCTCAGCATGGCGTGCTCTGCGCCCAGCCACAGCGGGGGATCGTCCTCGCTGGGCCTCCCAGAAACCAGCCTTAGCCTCTCCCTTCCTGTGCAAAGGGGTGGAGATGACACTTAGGGCACCTGCTTTTTCTGAGCGGAGGCGAGAGGCAGCGGTGTGGGGGGAGGAGATACTGGGACCTGAGCCATTGCCTGTTTCTGGTGCCCAGAGACCTACTGGGGAAGCCATCCTGCCGCCTCAGTCCCTCCCGGGCAGGCCCACGCGCCATTTCCGTCTGTGTTCAGCCCTGTGCCAGGAGGCAAGGGAGAGCTGGCCCCTTTCTTGCCTTTAGGAAGATCTCCATGAGCTGTGAGGGAGGTGGGCTCTGGACACCGGGAGAGTGACCCCACCTCTGAGCTGTCTGGGCTGCTGCCCCCTGAGTCTAACCATTAGAAAGGAAGGGCTCTGCATCCATCGGTGTGTCAATCAACAAACACGCATTGCCGCTATACCACACCAGGCTCTGTGTAGAGGCTGGAGGTGCAGGATTGAGAGGGCGGCTCTGAGTGGCCTGGGGTGGGTGGAACAGGTGGGCTTGCAGGTCGGGCCCGAGTAAGGAGGTGCTGGGGACGGGTACCGGGGGAAGTGGCAGGCTGTCTGCAGAGTATGGGGCAGGGAGGTCCGGAGATGATATTAGGCCCTTACAAGGCAGACTAAGGGGTGTCATCTGGGGGAAGTGGGGGCCACTGTAAGGTTGGTTGACCCAAAGGGAGAAAAGCTTTCAACCCATGTGTCCCCAGGATGAGCCGGCAGGTGGTCCGCTCCAGCAAGTTCCGCCACGTGTTTGGACAGCCGGCCAAGGCTGACCAGTGCTATGAGGACGTGCGTGTCTCGCAGACCACCTGGGACAGCGGCTTCTGCGCCGTCAACCCCAAGTTTGTGGCCCTGATCTGCGAGGCCAGCGGAGGAGGGGCCTTCCTGGTGCTGCCCCTGAGCAAGGTGAGCCCTGGAGCTCCTCTGTCTAAGGGGGCCCTGCTGGCCAGGGCTCTGGGGAGGCACTGACTAGGAGACTGTCACCAGGTCATCCTCTGTAAGACTGAGCTGGGCCAGATGGGCCTCAGCCTCCTCTAGCTCCGACGTGCAGCGGTGGTATGGAAACCAGTGCTCAGAGGGGAGACAGGAGACGGTCACTGTGGACCCAGGATCGGGTTTCCCAAGTCTCAGTCTAGACCCTTCTCTCCTTGGAAGCACAGAGAGGGCTGCGTGGGGTTTCTGTGAGCCCAGCAATGCTCTCAGGCCTGGGGGCTCCAGGTCTGGGCCTGTCTGAGGAACCCAGCAAGCTCGCTCCCAGGCAGGGATAATCCAAAGGGCTTCTCCTCTCCCCTGCCCGGCCCATCCTCTGACCCTACTGCCCCCACTCCCTGTTGTCGCTGACCCCCTTCCCTAGCACGCTCCTGGGCTCTTTGGGGGGTGAGACAGGAAGGGGAGATGGGCCCTAAGTTTTACCTTAAAAGGGCCGATGGAAGCAAAGCGAAGAGGAAGTGGTTGTCGGGGTGAGAGCTGGGCCCCGCACCCCACACAGGCCTCCACACAGGAAGCCCTGCTGAAGCAGCTGTCCCCGGAAGAGGCCATTTCCAAACCTCTGTGCCTTCCTGGGGGCCTGTTATGACACTTCTGCCCCTTTCCCTTAGGCAGGACGTGTCCCTGCAGCCCCGCCATTCACGCACACTTCCCTGGAGCCCCCAAGCCCCACATCTGCCCAGGCTCCAGGGCTGTGGCCTCTTGTGCCCCTGGAAGCCTCGCCTGGGGAAGCTGGTGGAGTACTGACCCTTGGGACACAGATGAGATGGAGATGGAGACAGGCAGGAGCTTGTTAGGGTCCCACAGTAAGGCAGGGACAGGACAGCAGGCCACCCGTCCGCTTACGCTGCTTGTGCCAGCCCTCCTGGGTTTCCTTAGGCACTTTGGGACTGGGCAGAGAGAAACAAACCCTGCCCACCCCAGACCCAGTCCTCCTCCTGGGGACCCCACAGCCTCCCTCTCTGTGCCTCTCAAGGAGGTGTGGGGAGGTTGGGCTGGGTTTGGAGGACAACAGCACCTCCATTAAAGGCCCTGCTGTGCTCTCTAGACTGGACGTGTGGACAAGAATGTGCCCATGGTCTGTGGCCACACAGCCCCTGTGCTGGACATCGCCTGGTGCCCGCACAATGACAACGTCATTGCCAGCGGCTCTGAAGACTGCACAGTCATGGTGAGTGACGGCGGGACATGGGGCCAGCAAGCGGACTTGAGCATGGGGTCTGGCATCTGGAGCCCCAAGACTCACGCACCTCTTCTCTGCAGGTGTGGGAGATCCCAGACGGGGGCCTAACGCTGCCCCTGCGGGAGCCCGTCGTCACCCTGGAGGGCCACACCAAGCGTGTGGGCATCGTGGCCTGGCATCCCACAGCCCAGAATGTGCTCCTCAGTGCAGGTGCTGTGGAAGACAGGGTGGGCTGGTGGCTTCACACAGACGAGGGCAGGAGACTCACGGCTTCTGCGTCTGGGGGGACTGCGCAGGTTGTGACAACGTGATCCTGGTGTGGGACGTGGGCACTGGGACGGCTGTGCTGACGCTGGGTCCAGACGTGCACCCGGACACAATCTACAGCGTGGACTGGAGCCGAGACGGTGCCCTCATCTGTACCTCCTGCCGCGATAAGCGCGTGCGCATCATCGAGCCTCGCAAAGGCACTGTCGTGGCTGTGAGTCACCATGAGCCTTAACCCTTGACTCTGGGCCCTATATTTCTCTTACCTATCATCAACCAGACCTTTAGAGGCTTCCCTCTCTTTCCCACCCCCGGGGGCCGGCCCCTTAGGGGATGCGGGAGGGGGAGGGGGAGCGGTGCCTGACCTGCTACCTCCCTTGTCTTTCAGGAGAAGGACAGACCCCACGAGGGGACCCGGCCAGTGCGTGCTGTGTTTGTATCAGATGGAAAGATCCTGACCACAGGTTTCAGCCGCATGAGTGAGCGGCAGGTGGCGCTGTGGGACACAGTAAGTGCCCAGATGGAAAGCAGGAGGCCCTGGGCTGGGACTCTGCTGCAGGCTCAGGCCCTGCTCTGCTGCTTACCTGGCCAGGTGGTCACAGACCTGGGCTTACCCACCGTGAGATGGGGGCTTCCACTGGCTGGTGTGGGAGGCCCTCACCAGCTCACTGCCCGGTGCTCACCATCCCAGGGTTCGACATGGCCCAGCCCATTAGTGCCTCCTATCTGTCTCTGCAGAAGCACCTGGAGGAGCCGCTGTCCCTGCAGGAGCTGGACACAAGCAGTGGCGTCCTGCTGCCCTTCTTCGACCCCGACACCAACATTGTCTACCTCTGTGGCAAGGTGGCCCAGTCAGGCAGGGGCAGGGACAGGGAGGTGGGCAGGAGGGGGTTGGAGAGGACCTGGCCTTGGCAGCATCTGCTGGTGGTGACTCCCGCTCTGTACCCGCCACCTGCAGGGAGACAGCTCTATCCGGTACTTCGAGATCACTTCCGAGGCCCCCTTCCTGCACTATCTCTCCATGTTCAGTTCCAAGGAGTCCCAGCGTGGCATGGGCTACATGCCCAAACGTGGCCTGGAAGTGAACAAGTGTGAGATTGCCAGGTGACTGCCCCCAGACCCTGACCGGAGCGTGCTCCTTGGGCAGTGCTGACCTTGGCAAGGCATGGGCAATGCTCACCTTCCTGTTTCCACAGATTCTACAAGCTGCACGAGCGGAGGTGTGAGCCCATCGCCATGACAGTGCCTAGAAAGGTGACGCTCCCGTGTCTCTCCCTGGGCGCCCGGCTCTGGCTGGGGGAGTTGCAGGGTGGGGTTGCAGAAGACCTCTCTTAACCAGCCTTGGCCTTGCCCACAGTCGGACCTGTTCCAGGAGGACCTGTACCCGCCCACTGCAGGGCCTGATGCTGCCCTCACGGCTGAGGAGTGGCTGGGGGGCCGGGATGCTGGGCCGCTCCTCATTTCCCTCAAGGACGGTTATGTACCCCCAAAGAGCCGGGAGCTGAGGGTCAACCGGGGCCTGGACACGGGGCGCAGGAAGGCACCAGAGGCCAGTGGTGCTCCCAGCTCGGTGAGAGATGGTATAGGGCTGCCAGGGCTGCTACGGATGTGGGAGTGTCTAAGTGGGAGGAGGCTGGCTTTGAGAACTGCCCGATTGCACAAGGTTGGGGATCCTTTGAGGGCTAGGAGCAGATAATGCTGAGGTCTCAGAAAATGGGTTTCAAGCCTTCTGGCCTGCAAATCCCCAGGCAGCAAGTAACTGACACAAGGGGGACAAGCTCTATGGGTTTGGGAAGGGGCTTAGCAGATGCTAGGGCAACAGGAGCCCAAGGAGGGGCTGGGCCTAACGCCGCGCGGGTCTCCCAGGACACCGTATCCCGGCTGGAGGAGGAGATGAAGAAGCTCCAGGCCACGGTGCAGGAGCTACAGAAGCGCTTGGATAGGCTGGAGGAGACGGTCCAGGCCAAGTAGATGACCCTGGGCCTTCAACTGGGGTCACCCACACCCTCCCATGCACATCCCACTCCTCAGGCCGCAATGGCAGACAGGAAAACATAATAAAATGGCTTTATTTTCTGGTACCTCTCAGACTGTGATGACTTGTCCCCAGATGCTGGGTCTGCTGAACTGTCCTGCCTTCGAGCTGCCCCTGGCAGGACTGTCTCATGACGGGCCAGGGGGAGACTTCTTAGTGACCTACATCACCGGAACAGGGCCTTGGCAGATGGGAACCACCCTGCTGATGGGGGCGGTCAGGCTGTTCTCTATTTCTCTGCCAGCTATTTAAGGCCCTAGCCTTAAATTGAGTCCCTCAATTTTCCTCCTGTACCCCAAATCTGCTTTTCTATTCAATCAGTACATCCGGCTACCCGCAACTATCAACACTGGTGCTTGTGGGAATGAACTGTTGGCACTTACATGGTAAACATCTTTCACACCGCAGGCCCCAAAGCTAAAGATAACGAGGGGACCTTTTCTAAGAAACAGCCCCAGAGCAAGAGATGGACTCACTGAGTCTGGGCCCAAGTCTCCCCTTCCAGGTCAGAAGCCCCTTCCCTCCCACTGCATACTGCTGCTGCCTCTCTAGCCCTTCCCTGGGTTCCCCCAGGCCTGGCCTCTGCAGGACCGGCAGGAACAAAGCTGCCTGTCCCTCTTGAGGGGATGCTTGGTGTAGGTTTTAATGCCCAACTTAGTTGGCGGCCTTCTCTCCAGGCCTCAGTTGCCTGTCTATAAAAGAGAGAAGGGGGCCAGCAGGTGATGTGGTGGTTAAGGCACTGGATCCCACATGGCCAACTCGGTGGTTTAAGTCCCAGACCCAGTGGCTTGAAGGACACACTGGACACAAGTGTCCCTTCTCACTTTCTCTCTCTGGTGAGTACGCATGCCCTATGGCAAAAATCCTAAAGAAAAAAATGACATATATACACACACACACACACACACACACACACACACACACACACTTTTAAAAAAAGGGAGGAGGAAAGAAGGAATACCATCACAGCTCAGTGAATGCAGTGGTAGACCCCATCAGTTATGGTCTGGGCCTCTTAAAGAGGTGACATTCCTTTTCTGAGCCTCTCCTACACAATGGGGCCCATGGCCCTCTAGGGTCTTTGGGAGCAGCTCAGTCACTAGTATGACCCGCAGCCCAAGGAACTAAAGAGAGCTCATGATCCCTGCAACCCAGAGTTGAGCAGTCACTCGTGACTTCCAGCTTTACTAGCCCATTCTCTCTAATGGGACACGAGAGGGAGGTGGGGGTGGAAGTAATTCAGGGGCTAGAAATTAGCTGTGAACACACAGAACAGAGTAGCATGGCCGAAACTCGCAAATTTTTCCTTCCAGAGTCCTAGCCCCAACTTGGTGACTTGCTGTCCCTCCTGGGGGCCGGGAAACATCAGCATCCCAGGTGTGGTAAGCCCTGTTTGGGCAGCACCCCCAAGGCCTGGAAGGGCTGGGGAACCTGCAGGGGCTGTGTGGAATCCCCTGTTGTGCCTCTGGTATTGCAGTGGTGCTGGGAAGGGAAGTGCTTCCCGTCAGAACCCTGAAACCTGAGCATTTCACCTCTCTCCATATTTTTGCTTTTCCTTTTTAAAGTTTATTTATTGGGACCAGCAGATGGAGTCGCGGTTATGTTGCTGGACTCCCATGTAATTGACCATAGTTTGAGTCCCAGACCTGGTGGCTAAACGCCAGGGGCATGTGTGCGCATTCCCAAGATCCTGAGAGGAGACTGGAGAAGAAAGCATTGCAGCATGGCCATCCCCTCCCACCCAGGGGCAATTTCTCACTGTCTGTCTCTCTCTTTCTCTCCAGTGAATGCACGCATCCTATAACAAAATTCTCTCTTTAAAAAAGAAGTTATTTATTTATTCCACAAGCAAGAGGCACACATAAAGACAAGGACAAAGATTCAGCACCACTGACAAAGTCTTGATACTGCAATCCACTGCTAGCCCCAGCCAGCCCAGACAACCGGCACAAGTGCCTGGGGGACTCAGCAATCTTCCCTGGGCCTTGGCCTCACAGAGGCTGCAGTTTACCCTGCATCACGGTCAGGACCCCCACCTCTGCACCTTGAAGGCTGGCACAGAGCAGGAATTCCAGTTCTCTGTAGGTAGGGTGGGTGGTGGCAGTACAGACTCCTAGGGGTCTACAAAGAACTACAGAGATGGGGGGCCCTAAAAGGTACTTTAACGTCATAATTTCCATTGTATGAACAAGAGGTCGATAGGTGAGGGACTCGACAGACAGAAGCCACGCCTGGAATCAGGCCTCAGCGACTCTCACACAACACACCGACACAGGAGCTGGTGGTGATTCATAATTTAATGTCTGCACAGGGCCTAGGCCCTCATTTCTGCCGCTCTCGGGCCCACTGCTCGGGAGTCAGGGTTTTCTGCTCAAACGCATGGATGTGCGGGAGCTCTTCTGCCAGACACGCGTTCACCAGCCTGGAGTGTGAGAGACCGGGTGACGCCAGGGGCTGAGTCGTGGTCCCCGGGACGTAGGAACACCCAGGACGAATACTGAAGCTTAAATACTAGAAGCAGGGCCCCGCGAGGGTGGGATGCCGGGGGTCATGGGTCACAATGGAGGAGGTGAGGAAGTTAGGGTGCAGGGGCAGGGGGAGTAGCCAGGATGTGGATCTAGAGTTGGGACCGCGCTGGGCAAGGTTTCTCGGGGTCTCACCGGTGTCTCTGAAGTAGCGGTTTCCCCTCGAACTTGGCCGACACCACCAGGACTCGGAAGCTGGACGCACAACGGTTGGGAGTGGTGTCCTCCACCTCCTGCCGGACAGAAAGATGTGGATGGTGCCGAGCCCGCCCCCCAGGAGCCCTTTTCCCCTTGTCGGGCGATTCAACTCACCACGTGCTCTGCCTCCAGGTCCCGCTGCAGCTTCTCCCGGAGGGAGTCGGCGCTGAGCTCCATTGCCGCAGCCCAAGGGGTACCGAAACCCAGCTCGGACCCCGGCCACCCTGCTTTCCGCCCTTACAGGTGCCACTTCCGCTGGGGCATCTATGTTCTTCCGCCCTTACTAAGGCGTCCTTTACACAAGCCAGGCTTTCTAACAGTCAAGGGTTTCCGCGCCTACGCCAGTTAGCCAATCAGAGTCTGCATACGGACGGCCTCTGTGGGAGCCGACGCTAACTGGTCGGCGCCAGTCTCCTGCTCCGCCGGCTGGGTTCAGTGGGCCGGTTGGGACACTTATCTCCAGCCACGAGAGGGTGCACCGGCCTGTGGCGCTGTGGGCACCAGGGCGCCTCGGCATCGCCCTAAGCGCTCTTCCCCGGACAAGCATCGTGCAGTCCTCGAAACCCAGTCCTCCCTGGGGCGCTAGGTCACAGCAGTCACTCCCCAGCTGCGGCCCCTGACCCACCCCACAAGTCCCTATGGGCCCCGCGGGGGGCACAGCGAGGCCGGGACGCTTTTTCGGCGTCTACCTGTTGTACTGTCTGAACCCTCGGCACCGGGGCCGCGTCTATGTGGGGTTCACTGTCAACCCTGCTCGTCGAGTACAGCAGCACAACGGGGGCCGCAAAAAGGGCGGGGCCTGGCGGACCAGCGGGCGAGGGCCCTGGTAAGAGGGGGCAGGTCTCTGTGTCTGGAAGTTTTGTGGAGGGGCGGGCCCCGCGACAGAGAGGCCTGTGGTAAGGGGCAGAGCCGCCGTGGGGACTGATCTACCGGACTGAGGGCCGGGTGGCTAGTGACGAGGGCGGGGCTGTCACAGGGGAGGGGCATGGCAGGGAGGCGGAGCCCTGTGAAACCCCAGTGGGACTCAGGGGGGAGGTGGACGAGGGAAGGGTTTGATGGCCGGGGCTGGGGTCCGACGGCAGGAAGCTTGGTTAGCCAGGCTGGGCTGCCATCGCGCCTAGAAGGGAGAAGCTGGGGAGAGTGAAGTACCTGTGACTGGAGGCGGGGACCGGGGTTGGTGTGCCAGAAGTTGCACCTCCAAGAGGGCTAGGCCTGAACTGTGTGTGAGGACTGCTCTCGGGTGGGACCCTAAGGGAACCATGAGGGGCAGATTCAGCTTGACATGGGGTGGGGAGGGCGACTCACGGGCCTGCACCCTCGTCCTGCTCCCCAGGGAGATGGTGCTCATCGTGCACGGCTTCCCGTCCGCAGTGGCCGCTCTTCGGGTAAGAGATGCGGAGTGTGAGCAGGTGGGCCTGGGGTTGGGGCCTGATCCGGGAAGTCCTGACGTTCATGTACTCCCCACTGGCAGTTCGAGTGGGCCTGGCAGCACCCGCAAGCCTCTCGCCGCCTGGCGCACGTGGGTCGGCGCGTGCGCGGAGAGGCTGCCTTCGCTTTCCATCTACGCGTGCTGGCGCACATGCTGCGCACGCTGCCCTGGGCGCGCCTCCCGCTCACTCTGCGCTGGCTGCGCCAGGACTTCCACTGCGATCTCAGCCCGCCGCCGCCTCCGCATGTGCCCCTGGCTTTTGGGCCTGTGCCACCTAGGGCCTCAGCCCCGAAGCACTGCACTGTTCCCTTGGCTGACACCCAGCCCAAGCCCGACCCGGACCAGGGTGCCGAGGCCTGCTGTGCCCTGTGTACTAACCAGCTCCAGGTGAGGCTCACCTCAGGTAGGGTCCGTTCTAGGTTTGAGGGATTGGGCAACCCACTGGACACTGTGGCCACTCTGCTCTTAAGTCTAAAATGGGGGATGACAGCACTTGTGGCCATTCTTGGTTCCTGCAAAAGTCCTTTCCCTTGGACTAGAAGGTTCTTTCCTAGGCATCCAGTTTCAATAACATGCCACCACCTCCATGAAGTCTTCCCTGGCCCTCCATCTAAAATTGCAGCTCTGAGGGGCCAGCAGATGGCATAATGGCTATGTCGCTGGACTACCATGTAGTCAACCAGGGTTGAATCCAGCACAGGTTACTTAAACTCGTGCTGGGTGCATGTGCGTGTGTGCCCAAGATCCTGAGAGGAGAATGGAGGAGAAGGGATTGCGGCGTGGTCATCCCCCTGGGGGAGGGGGTGACTTTTCACTTTCTGTCTGTCTCTTTCTGGCAAGCGCACATACCCTATAACGAAAACCTCTCAAAAAATAAAAAATAAAAAAAATTGCAGCTGTTTCATTCTACCCCCTTTCCCTTAACACGGATCATCTGACATACTACGCTTTTTTTTCTTTTTTTTGGAAAGGTTTTTGCTATAGGGTGCGTGCACTCGCCAGAGAAATACAGAGAGATAGAAAGCGAGAAATCACCCCCCAGGGGGATGGTCACACCGCAATCCCTTCTCCTCCATTCTCCTCTCAGGATCTTGGGCATGCACGCACATGCACTCAGTGTGAGTTTTAAGCCACCTCCCAGGTCTGGGACTCAAACTGTGGTCGACTACATGGGAGTCCAGCGACATAGCCATTATGCTAACTGCTGGTCTCCGCATTTATTTTTCTTATCAGTACCCCACCCTAACACAAGTCCATGAGGGCAGAACTTGTTCACTACTGTAGACCAGGGTCCTGCACAGAGCAGATGGTCACCAGGTATTCAGTGAGCAGAGATGGTCCTCCTGGCTTCTCCTGGGCTCTCAGTAGTGCAAACCTGAGTACCGGAGTATTTCACAGAGCAATTGACTGGAGAGTGCTCAGCCCAAAGGAAGTACAGTCTGCTGCAGTGGCCAGGTTGTTTATAATCACTGCTGATGCTCAGAGGATGCCAGTCCTCTTAGTCCCTGTGGGCAGGTATTTTAACCTGTCCACCCCTCGCTTTCTCATCTGCTTAACACAGTACTAGTACGTGCCTCACTGGGTTCTTACACGATGACCAAGAGCAGTGTCTGGCTGATAAAAATACCTAATGAGTATTAACTGCAATCTTTCCTTGTTCTCTCTTACTTGCCTGCCACCCCTGACAGGATGAAGAGGGCCCCCTGTGTTGCCCCCACCCTGGCTGTACGCTAAGGGCTCACATAATCTGCTTGGCAGAGGAGTTCCTTCGGGAAGAACCAGGGCAGCTTCTGCCCCTAGAGGGCCAGTGCCCTAGGTGAGCCCAGTACCCCCAGTGTCCCCAACCCTCCCCTGCTCCTTTTGTGTCACCCCCGTGGGTCTGGGCATTTTACTTGAGTACAATACAAAGCCTGCTGGCATGGTGGTTAAGGAGCGGGACTCCACATGGCCGACTGTGCGGTTGAGTCCCAGACTCAGCAGCTTGAAAACACCCCAGGTTCGTGTGCCTGGGCGAGCTCTGGGAACAGGGTGCCAAGTAGCCCAGTAGAGCCCAGGCTGCTGCGTCCTCCTCTTGACCCCTAGGGCCTAGCCGTGAGGGGCTTGTGATGCTTGACTCTGTCCCCCCTACCTACTGCATCTCTTGGTAGCTGTAAGAACTCACTGCTTTGGGGAGACTTGATCTGGCTGAGCCAAATGGGTATAGAGGAAGAAGTCTTGGAATTAGAAGAGGTGAGAGATGGCTTTATCCCCAGCTTCCCTACCCCCCATCCTGAGCTGCCTTTGACCCACTTCTGTCTCCACAGGGACACTGGACAGACATGCTGAAGACCTGATCTCAGCATCTCCAACCCTCCCCTGCTCCTTTTCTGTGTCTCCCCTATGGGTCTGGGCACTTTTACCTGAATATAATACAAAGCCTGCTTGCTGGTGTGGTGGTGAAGGAGCCGGATCACACATGGCCGACTGTGCGGTTGAGTCCCAGACTCAACAGCCTGAAAAACACTCCAGGTCCATGTGCGTGCGTGCCCCAGATTTGAGAGGAGAATGGAGAAGGTGGGACTGAGGCACGGCCATCCCACCACTGGGAGGTGATTTCTCACTTTCCCTGTCTCTGTGTGTCTCATTCTCTCTGAGGAGCATATGCACCGTATGACAAAAATCTAAAAATAAAACACTAAAAAATAAAGTCTGGTTGAAGGTAACTTCTGGTGTTTGCAGGGTTGAGAGAGGGGGTGGAGCTAGCAGGCAGAGGCCCTGCCAGTCACTAGGGCCTGGGTGAGAGGCACAGAGAAGGGGCTGCTGGCCTAAGCATGTGGTCAGCTCTTATCTGTCCTGAGGCCCCTCTGCCTCAGCTGTCCTGTTTGCCTCCGAGGCTACACAGGTCTTTGAAGGCATGGGAGACACACGTCCTTGACTTAGCTTACTTGCCCAGCTGAATTCTGAACTTCAATCAGGGGCAAAGATCAAGGAGGAGGAGGGAGGGATGTTCCCATGTTCCCATGGGACTCTGGGGCTTTCCAAGTCCCGACTCCTCCTTGTCCCTGTCTGCAGAGCCCCGTTCAAGCTCAGAGAAAGAAATCTGCTACGGTGGGGGGCTGCCGCTCTCCTACCAGCCATGAGGCCCCACGGGAGCCATGAGCTGGGGCTCATCCCAGGACTCCGGCATCCTTGTCTTCTCCTGTCCTATACTGCCTGCTAGAGCCTTCTTGGCTCCACTCTGCTCCCAGACCCCCTTTGCCCCACCCACCCACCTCTCTCCAGACTCCTCTTGTGGTTAGTCAGCAGTTTATAGAATCCAGGGCTGCCCCCTGCCTGAACCTTTGGCATGTTCAAAACTGGCCTGGAGGCAGCAGGAAGGCGAGTGGCCCTGCCTCAAGTCCACCCAGTGAGGTCCATCTCTCCCTGTACCCCTTCCTACTCCCATGACTGGGTCAATTAGGAAAAAAAAACACACACACAAAACAAAACAACAACAAAAAAAGCCACAACTATCTAGTAAACAAAAACAGAAGAAGAAAAAGCTGTCTGTTGGCTGCTGTGAGGGTGGAGTTTAGAGGGGCAGGTCAGGAGCCAGATTACATTGCAAACACAAAGCAACAAAAAAACTCCCAAATCACCATTGGGCCCTTTCTCCTAGTTTTAGTCTTTGTTTTCTATACACTAAACCCACATCTTAGGTGTCTAGACCAATCTAAGCCTGGTGCCAGCTGGGGTGCAAAGGAGGGTAACAGAGCCCCCCCCCCCAGATCCCCTAAACTCCACCCTTTCCTTCCGGGAGGACAGCCAAGTCCCCGTTCTGGCTCCAGATCCCTCCCACTTTGGATCTACAAAACCTTTAGCTCAGAGAGCGGTCGTGCACTCACACCGCGCCCTCACTGAGCCACAGCACGCAGAAGCTAGGAGCCTAAAGGTCAGGTGAGTGCCAGAGCGGGGGTGGGCAGGCCAACTGCCCTCACACGCCCAGCTCAGCAGAGGCTGGCTCAGGGGCTCTAGCCTCTGCCATGCCTGCAGGTCCCATGGATATCCCATCTGGACAGCTCCAGCCTAAACCCCCCTTCCCTCTCCTAAGTCAACAGGGTTCTGCTCATCCACATACCAGACTCCGCACACCCAAAACAGGCTTAGCTGCCCAATTAGGCTGTTTGCTCCTGAGCCAAAACGGAGGGTAGGCAGAGAAGCAGGATCACAGACCTGGTGGGCTGCGATGCAGGGGCCTATCGAGCGTGGGAGTGGGGGAGGGAAGCAGCCCATTGGGTGTCGGCTGGGAGGCGCAGCAGGAAGTCATACAAGAAGTCCAGAAGTCCGGCAGGAGTTACGACAGGCTGGCCTTAGAGGAGTTTTCTCAAGTGCACACTGCAATCTCCTAGAGAATTTAGAAAAACCTGGGATCTGGGCCCTGCCCCAGAGAGCTTTCATTGGTCTGGGTGCGGTCCTAGCATCGGGATTGTGGAAAGCGCTGTAGGTGCAGCAGAGTAGTGAGCCCTGCACAGATTAGGAGCTGGCTCCCGTCCTAGCCCCACCACTTACTGTAACAGTTTGGGGAGCCTGGGTAAATCACTCAAGCTCCCTAGGCTCAGGGTTCCCACCTGAAAGCAGGACTTCAGCAAATGGTATTGTAATGGTATTAAGGGACGTGGCCACCCTCAGGCCTGACAAGGCATGGAGCTGCTCCAGGACATCTCCCGCCAGCCCCTGGTGACTGTGAAAGGGGTCCCCCTCATCAAGTACTTCGCTGAGGCACTGGAGCCGCTGGAGAGCTTCCGGGTCCGGCCCGATGATCTGCTCATCAGCACCTACCCCAAGTCTGGTAGGTGAGGAGCCCTCCGCCACAGGGCTACAGCTCCTACCTTGGCCAGCAGGCCATGACCTCATCCCCATGTACCCCCTCGCCCTCCCTCTCTAGGCACCACTTGGGTGAGCCAGATACTGGACATGATCTACCAAGGTGGTGACCTGGAAAAGTGTCGCCGGGCCCCCATCTTCATGCGGGTGCCCTTCCTTGAGTTCAGATGCCCAGGGATCCCCTCAGGTGTGTGCTGGGGCATGGTGGGCAAGCCAAGTGGAGGGCGGCAGGACCAGGGCTCCAGCTCACAGGCTTCCCTATACCTGGGCTTAGGTTTAGAGGTTCTGAAAGATATGGCAGCCCCACGGCTCATCAAGACACACCTGCCCCTGGCCCTGCTCCCTCAGACTCTGCTGGATGAGAAGGTCAAGGTGAGTGGCAAGGGAAGCTAGGGAAGGCGGCCATCCCAGCTGTGGTCCTATTCTGGGAAGGGCTCCTCTCCTCCTTGAGCCTTACATAAAGGAGAGGCCATCTGCCTCTTGTTCTGGCGGAGGTCAGATGGCCAGGACAGCCCAATCCTTCAGTGCAGACCTGAGAAAAGCTGTCGGTATTCACAGGCCTGTGATGGGGGGAGGGGCTGGGGAGAACCCTTGTTCCAAAGTGGTAGCATTGATGGAGAATCAGATAGAAAAAAAATACAACAGAGTGGGGTTCGAATCCCAGCTAAGCTGCACCCATGCCATGGGGTCTCAAGCTTATGTCAGCCTCTGCCCACTTCTTCCTTTGCCAAACTGAGAGGGACCCTCCTGTGTAAGAGACAGGCAGGCAGGGCGGGGAACCTAGGACTGGTGTGGTGATCACATGGGGAGGGGCTGTCTGCCCTGGCAGGTGGTCTACGTCGCCCGCAACGCTAAGGATGTGGCCGTCTCCTATTACCACTTCTACCACATGGCCAAGGTGCACCCTGAGCCTGGCACCTGGGACGAATTCCTGGAGAAGTTCATGGCTGGGGAAGGTGGGCCTGATTCTGGAGGACAGGGGCTGGGGGAGGTGGTGAGGACGGCCACCCAACACTCACACCATCTCCGGTGTCGATGCCGCCTGCCCTTTCCTCAGTGTCTTATGGGTCCTGGTACCAGCATGTGCAGGAGTGGTGGGAGCTGAGTCACACGCATCCTGTTCTCTATCTCTTCTATGAGGACATGAAGGAGGTGAGGCTACCTGCTCCTACTTCCCTGTGTCATACCTGAGGAGGCAAGACCCTCCCGGGGACCTGACATGGCTCTTCAGCTGCCCCCCGCCTTGGCTGCCCCCTAGCGAGTCTGAGCTCCTCCTCCACCTGCCTTCGTGGCGCAGGCCCAGAGCAGCAGCCATACTCCACGCTCTTATCTCCAGCACCTGAGTCAGCTCCCGTGCAGTCACCGTCAGCAGTTCACTGGTCTTGCTTCCTGCCAAGGGGTGTGTCCAGTCCTGGGGCCACAGTTATGAAACCTGTCCCTGTCCTCTCTGATTGGAACCAAACACAGCTTGTCACAGGCTAGAAAGCACCCCTAGTTCTGCCCTAAGGAAATAGGACCAGAGCGCCCAGGAGCTGGGTCTCGGGTTTCTAAATGGCCAGGTCCCCTACAATGTTAGAGAGGGTCCCCCTCTTGGTTCATTGAGCAACCCCAACTTCCACTGAAGAGTCCCTCTGCTGCTCCAGAACCCCAAGAGGGAGATTCAGAAGATCCTGGAGTTCGTGGGGCGCCCCCTGCCCGAGAAGACCGTGGATCACATCGTCCAGCACACGTCTTTCACGGAGATGAAGAAGAACCCTATGACCAACTACACCACCATCCCCACCAACATCATGGACCATGCCGTGTCCCCCTTCATGAGGAGAGGTGGGTCCTGTGGAGGGCTGTCTTGGGAGGTGAGGGGGACGTGACAGCCTAGAGCTGTCCTGAGCCTCCTCCCTCCCCAGGCATCGCGGGGGACTGGAAGACCACCTTCACTGTGGCCCAGAACGAGCGCTTTGATGCAGACTATGTGGAGAAGATGGCAGGCTACAACCTCAATTTCCGCTCAGAGCTCTGAGTGGCGCTCATGTGTGAGCGCGCCGGAGGGAGTGTGTCGAACGAGCCCGCATTGGTCTCAAGAATAAAAGTGATTTGTGTTCAAGGCAGAATTGCTGTTGGAAAAAAGCCAAGAGCAAACCTGAGCTGAGAGAGTAAATGCCACTGGTCCATCTCCCACAGCCCTCTGGGCCCCCAACCCGCCCAATGGGGCTGGAGAGACGATGGAGGAGCAGGACCCAGGACAAGGGCAAGGGCGAGAATATTTATTTGATCACAGAAAATCCTTGTGGTCTTCCCCACCAGGGTGGCAGGAGACTGCATCTGCTAGCCGCCTTCACTTTTTCTTGGGTTCCTTACAAGCCACCACGTACCTCTGGGCCACGTTGAGGGGTGGGGAGTAGCCATCTGCATAGGAAGTGTCTTCGAACAGGACTGAGTAGTCATCCTGGGGCTGCACAGGAGGCAGATAGGAGGGGCTGCTCAGACACCCAGGCTAGGCTGACCAGGACTGACAGTTTCCTGGAGCCAGGGGCTCCTGGCCCTCCTGTCCTCATCTTTCCCTGGGGGTCACAAAGTCTGGGTGCTTGAGTTGTCCCTGCTGCTTCAGAGCCCTTTCCTCAGCACCCAGGGCCAAGGCAGGGGATAAAGGGAAGGGAGAAGGGACGTGCCCCTCCACAGCCAGGAAAGGATCAGGTGCCTTTTCAGGACCCTGTGTCACAAAGAGATGAAGGACAATCCAGAGGGAAGCAGATAAGGATCCTAGGGAAGGAGGGAGAGCAGCTGTTAGGCTGTCCCCAGGTAACGTGTGTCATGGTGTTGGGAGCACAGGGAAGCAGGGGTTGGGACCCGGGCTTGGGCCTCTCATCCCAGGGCCAGGGTCTCTGAGGGTAGACTGGAGGGCATAGCAGGCCCACTCACTTGGGGCTGGCCCAGGCCTGAGGCTGGAGAGAGAGGTGGCTAGCGCTGCTCTGGAGGACAGGGCTGGAGGGGAGTACAGAGCAGACTTGACTCAGGTAAGTGGGTGAGAGAGGGCAGCTTGCACCTCCCAGCTGAAGGACATGAGACGAAAAAAGGGGAAGTGGAAGGATAGCCCCGTGCCTTCTGGTCAGCCTGGCCCTGGTGTGTGCGTGGCCTCCCGGGAAGCTGCCTTACCCGCTGCGGGGGCGTGTGGATCAGTGCCCGATAGAAGCAGGTGGTCTGGGGGTACAGGGCCAGCACAAGCTGCTCCTTCTGGAATAAGGCTTCAGGGTCTGTCTCTGGGTTGGCCTTCCACTGGGGCAGTGGGATGATGCGCCGCCGGCTCAGGGTGTGTCTCCTGAGGAGAAAGGACATGTCAGCCGATGGCCAGGTGGAAGGACTCGGTCCCAGCAGTGGGCTGCCCCTGGCTCTCTCTCCGCACCCCTGGCCTAGACACTCACTCTTTGCCTTCTTCATCAATGTCATCTACCTCGTACCTGCAGGCGGGTGAACAAAAGGAAACCATGATGCGGTGAGGTGCACTGCTGGGTTGGGAGGGGAGAGGACGGAGGGAAGGTGGCAGACAGAGCCTGGTGTCCCACAGGAGGACCCCCAGCATACCCTGGGCCAACTTCTCCCCCATGCTGCAAACAGGAAAAAAGCCACCGCCAGGAGAGAGCAGCCTGCAGGCTGGGGTCCACTCACTTGTTGGTGGCGTGGCTGTAACTGACCACCTCGGCCAGGATCCACTGCTCATCCCCATCCACGGCCTTTACTCGGGCAGCCACCTTGTCTCCAGGTTTGGCCACATAGTCCCCCGAGGCTGGAATGGCCCCACAGAGGGGTGGGGGCCTGTGAATGAAATAAAGTGTCTGTCCTAGCCCCTCAACACCAGCCCTCCCAGGCCAGCTCCCAGCCTCACTTGTCACCAGGCTTCCCGATCCACAGGGGCAGGGTCATGGCTGACTGCTGCAGCAGCGTCATCAGCACCCCTCTGCGCATGGTCTTCCGAGGGGGCTCCGAGTCATTGTACAGGCCCGCGATCTTGGCCGCTGCAGGAAGAAAGACAGCTCCTCAGGCAGGCACCAGGCCCACCTGCATCCTACACAGAGCCGTCAGAGCCGCCGGCTGGGCGCACCTCCTGAGTCAGCGGCGAGGGCCCACGCAATCCCTGCACCTTCGTCTGGGTGTTCGAGGTTGGAGACTGGTGGTGGGTAGTGATCGGCCTTTGGGAGAAGGAACTAGAAAGGGCAAAGCGGGGTTCTGAGGGGCTGGGTTGTGTTTTGTGATCCGGGTGCTGGTTACGTGTGTGCTCAATTAGTGAAAGTTGTACTGAGCTATACACCTGCGTGGTGCGTGGACTTTCCTATTAATGTTAATATATGTCGTAATTTGACACAAAGTTACAAGGACAATGATATGTGGACTCTTGACCACCAGGCGTGGTTCATCACACCCAGTCAACGTCCACAAAACCGGAGGGCGTGACAGTGCTCTGCTGAGGGAGGGTCTGCCACCACGGGCTTGCTGGAGAGGCGAGGGAGGCAGGGAAGTTGAGGGAAGGCTGGCAAGATGCACGGGGCGAGGCTCTGCCAAACACAGGGAGAAACCAGTGGGCGTGGTGGGAGGGGCAGCGATGGCAGGACTGCAGAGGAGGAGGGAGAAATAGGAGTGGGCAGAATCAACTTGGGCTGTGGAGGAGTAAGTAGGAAACCTGCCTCTGAGTGCCTTGCGGTCTCCACTTCCTTCCACCCCCAGATCTTCCCTGTCCGAAACCCCAGGGAACCACCCCGCCAGGCAGAGAGCGCAGGCTCCTCAGGGAGGTGAGTGCTGCTCCCAGGAACCGCGCTCTGCCACACTTGTCTCCCCAACTCACCAATCCGCCTCTCTTCCAACAGAGACTTGATCTCAGCAATCTTATCTAGGGCTTTCCGGAGGATGCTGCGAGGGCAGAAGGGGGAGAAAGGTCCTGGCTGAAGCACACAGCAAGGATTTCTTTTTCTGGTTATGGCAGGCTGGGTCATTCAGATCAACCCTATTGCCGAGAACTAGAAATTCTAAGTAGTGTTTTAAAAATCTTAAAACTACCGACAACAAGATGTAGGCAGTGGTGGGTCAAAAACTCTGAAGAGACAACAGGATCCCAGAGAAGCAGCAAAGCAGTCAGGGCTGTCTGTCCCGAGTGCACGTGGCAGACCCTGAAGAAAGCTGCTACAGTTCGAGGGCCTCCAACTGCCTCCTGCGACCAGGAGGGCAGATGTCAAAGCTCATGGTGTGGGCCGGCCCAGCAGTGCACAGGGTGGATCCCACAGGGCGGATCCCACACGGCCAAATCCCAGCCCCAGGGGCTTTAAAAACATGCTGGGGCCAGTCGGTGGTGCGGCATGGTGGTTGAAGTAGCTGGATCCCACATGGCCAATTGTGCGGTCTGAATCCTTGACCTGGTAGCTTGAAAACCATGCCAGGCATGTGTGGCCTCTGGCAAGAATTTTAAAAAGAAAGATGAACTGTTTCGTGAAAGAGGACCGTTCCTTCCCATCACGTGCACGGCAGCAGGAGGAGAAAGAGCTGGGAGGCAGTGCAGCACGCAGCAAGGCGTCTCGGGACTCGGCTGTTTCCAAGGCTTACTGCTTTTGGTACGTCCTTGCTTCCTGAGGGTTTTTAAACCAATCTCTTGGCAACATGAGCTGCTGCTTGTTCCGGCATCTGGATTAGTACGACAGTAACACGCAGTGACAAGGGTCTTCCCCAGACTCTCAGTGCCCTGGGCTGGCAGGGGTGGTGTCTCCTCTGTCTCACCCACTCTCCCTTCCCCAGCATGCTGGGCCGAGGAGGCCTTAGTGTTCACTAAGCGACTACAGGAAAGTTTGAGTCTGAGAGAGAGAAGTGGGGCAGAACTGCAAGAAAGTGAGCCCTGCACTTCTCAAACGAGCTTTCAAGTATTTCCCTCTGGAAAAGCTGAGGCCAGAGCCCATGCCATTTATGCCATCAGCAGTGGCCCGGAGCTCCCCACCTGGCAGAGGGAGCCCACTGTTGTCCAGGCTAAAAACCTTGGAATCTTCAGCTTCTCTCCCAACTACTGCCCAATTTTATCTTGTGGTTTTGTTTTTTAAATGTTACCGTAGGGCACGTATGCTTACCAGGTGGGAAAGTGAGTGAGAGAGAGACAAAGCACCCTGGGGGGATGATCATGCTGCAATCAGTCCTTCTGTCTCCCCCCATTAGGGATTTTGGGCACACACACACATGCACACAGCATGATTTTCAAGCCACTAGTCTGGGACTTGAACCATGCAGTAGGCCATGTAGGGTCCAGCCACCCTAACCACCATGTCACGGCTGGCTGCCTATTTCATTTTAGGCACTGCTCTTGAACCATCCTCGCTGCTTCATTCTCAAGTCTAAGTTCAGCTCCATCACCATGTCCTGTATGCTCCCCTGACTAGAACGTTCCACACACTGCAGCTTACGTCTTCACTGGCTCCCTGTGGCCTCCAGAATAAAGTCCACGGTGTTGGAGGCCCCTTGTGTCCTACCTAGCCACACAGGACTGATCCTCATCCCCCAAATGCACGTGCTCTGCAGTCACCCTGTGGCCTTCAGACACTGTCCCCACTGCCTGGGCTGTGTGCTCGCCTGCCTGCTGACCCCCAACCTAAGGTTCTGCTCAAGTCTTTCCTCCCCAGCTAAGGCCAGCCCGGCTCTCCCACCTCTGCTGTCCCACTAGCTACACTGTGCTGCAAATGCTCTGTTTTTGTAAGGTCCTCTCTCCCTTCTGAACTGTGCTCTTGAAGGCAGGTTCCCTCCTAGCCTCCTGTCTCTATATGGGGGGCCCAATGTCAGACTCAGTGTAAGCACCAGCAAATGTCTGCAGAACGGCTAACAGCAGGCCAAGAAAAGAGAGGACCTTGAACACAGAGCCCATGACAACCAGATCAGGGGGAGCCCCAGAGTCATTCATAATGCTTAGGGTTACCCCTGACCTTCCAGGGTCTCCTCCAACCCCACCCAGACCTGACCATTATGCATCACCCACTCGTGCAAGGCAGTGCTATGTCAACTGCAGGTTACAACTCAGTGAGTCATGACATTAATACTTTTTTTTTTTTGAGAGGTTTTTGCTATAGGATGCAAGTGCTCACCAGACGGACAGAGATAGAGAGACAGAAAGTGAGAAGTCACTCCCTGGGGGATGGCCATGCCACAATCCCTTCTCCTCCATTCTCCTCTCGGGATCTTGGGCACGCATGCACACGCACCCAGTGTGAGTTTAGGCCATTGGTCCAAGACTCGAACCGTGGTCAACTACATGGGAGTCCAGCGACATAGCCATTATGCCAACTGCTGGTCCCAATGAGATTAATTTCTAGGGCAATCAATGTCATGACTTAAAACACTTGCACACAGAACAGACCATACATAGTGGCAGTAAGAACTGTACTCTTGTTCTGATTCTGTGATACATATCTCCACACACATCTCATAAATGCAGGGTATTAATGAATAAGAGCTTTGGGATTAAAATTGGACTTCCCCACTTACTAGCTGTGTGACTATATAACCTCTACGTGCCTCAGTTTCCCCATCTGTGAAATGAGGGTAATACTATAGTACAACCTATCAACGGATTGCTGAGAATTAAATGGGGTAGATACACAAAGTATTTGGAATAGTACCAGGAACACAGGAAGGCCAAATAAGAATGAATACAATTGTTGGGTCATATTAGAGAATGAATTTTTTCTTTCTCTTTATTAATAGTTGCCAGAGAGCATGTGCACTCTTGAGAGAGAGCACCTCCCACTGGGGCAAAGTCACACGACACTCCTTTCCCTCCACTCCTCCATCCTATCAGGACTGCAGGCACCAAGGGCAGGGCAGGGCAGGGATTCAAGCCACAGCCAGCTATGTGGGAGCTGGCTTTCTATGCATAGCACTAAACCACTGTGTTATGGAACCAGCCCAAGATCATATTTTTTACTTATGGGTTAGATCAAAAGAGTACAAAGTTCGTGGGACCAGCAGTTAGTGTAATGGCTGTCACTGGACTCCCATGTAGTAGACCGGGGTTCGAGTCCCAGACCCAGTGGCTTAAACTCATGCCAGGCGCGCGTGTGTGTGCGCCCAAGATCCCAAGAGGAGAATGGAGAAGGGACTGCGGCGTGGCCATCCTCCCCGGGGGGCAATTTCTCGCTTTCTGTCTCTCTGTGTCTCTCTTTCTGGGGAGCGCATGTGCCCTATAGCAAAAAAAAAAAAAAAAGAGTGCAAAGTTCGCAGCACTAAGCACTTTATATGCATCATCCTGTGTTGTGTTTAAGATGCAGGACATAGTTATTATCCTTGTTTTATCAAGGGGCAACTGAGACGTGGCTGCCTGAGGTCATGTGCCCAGTAACAGCAGGACCAAGATCAGACCCATGCCTGGTCATGATCTATAAAGCAGCGGGGCACAGGGGAAGAGTGGGCCTAGAAGGAGGTTTCAGAGAAGGTGGGACCCGAGTGAGAGGCTGGAAAGGAGTCGACTTGCCCATGGGGTGAATGCCTGGGTGAGGAGGGAGCAGCAGCCGGGTGGGCGGACGGTACTCACTTGCACTCAGCCTCTGCATCGGCCTTGGCTGTCGTGTACAGGCCACGCAGCTTGGTCCGGTAATAAGGAGAAACTGCAGAATAAACACAGGAATAAGGAGACGTGGGCAAGGGGCAGGAGGCAGGAAGGTGCTTTGCTTCCTGGACACCAGCTCAGACTCTGGAAGGATCAGGGAGGCTGTGACCTGAAGTATGAGCTTCTCTGACTGCTGCCCCATCCACCGAAGACACGTTCCCATATAGGTTTCCATATGGTACAGATGCCATTGCTATCCTGGCGGAGGACTGTCTAACCTTTTCTCTATGAAGAAACAGGCAGGGACCAGCAGTTAGCTAATGGCTATGTCGCTGGACTCCCACGTAGTCGATCACGGTTTGCGTCCGGACCTGGTGGCTTAAAACTCACGCCGGGCGCGTGTGCGTGCGTGCCCAAGATCCCGAGAGGAGAATGGAAGAGAAGGGATTGTGGCGTGGCCATCCCCCCTGGGGGGGGATTTCTCGCTTTCTGCCTCTCTCTCTCTCTCTCTCTCTGGCTGGCAAGTGCATGCGCCCTATAACAAAAACCTCTAAAAAAAGAAACAGGCAGAAAGGATTTTTAAGCAAGCAGAAATACAGATAATGCTCAAAGCTACTTAGAGCAGGGAAGCACCAGGAGTCTGACCTCCTGAGGGCTCTGCAGGCTTTTGCAGAGGCACCCTGGAAGGGAAGCTATGCTCAGCTCACTGAAGCCTGTCCACCCGAGGGCACACTTCTCAGGATGCAGCCACTTCTCATTGCCTTTCTAGCCCCAGGCTGAGGGGTGTTAAGGTTTTTAGGGCTTAGCAGTCTGTCAACAGTCTCCAGGGTCACAGGAAGTCAACACCCTGGGCGGAACTGGCCTGAAATATTTGGATATATGCAAAAGTCCCCTTTGAAAACCATACGGCATGCACTCAGTCTAGGTCACCCCTACTCACCCCTTTCTCTCCTGAACCCAGCTACTCACTCTTGTTCTCTGTCTGCATCCGCTCGTGGGTCTTCTGGATGTTCACTAAGTTGTGTTCGCTCACTCAGAGGATGAGGTTGACAGGACATAAGGAAGCCTCCTGGCTCCCTGCATGCAGGCCAGAGGCTGTATCCCGTAAGTAAGGCCCTCATTTCTAAATCCAAATTCAGGAAACGTTCATGATGATTTTTTTCTCCCTAACTAATGCAAAAGCATTATTAACAGCATTAAAATTAAATCATGGGTTTTATCTTTAACGAGGCTGCTTTAACAAAGAGACAAACTAATCACAGCCCAATAAAATTATAGCTGAATTCTTTGCAGAAATTGATAAGCTCTTCCTAAAAATTCATATAGTAATCAAGAAACTCAGATTAGCTCAATCTCGAAAAAGTGAAGCAAAGTTGGAGAATTCACACTTCCTAATTTCAAAATTCACTACAAAGCTGCAGTAATCAAGATGGCATGGGGGGTGCCAGTAGGCGTGGTGGATAAGGTGGCAGGATCCCACAAGGCCGACTTCGCTGTTCAAGTCCCTGACCCAGTGGCTTAAAAACATGCCAGGCATGTGCATGCATGCCCAAAATCCTGAGAGGAGAATGGAGGAGGAGGGACTGCAGCATGGCCATCCCCTCTAGGGGGTGATTTCTCTCCTCTCTTTCTGTCTCTCTCTCTCCATGCCTCTCTCTGGCAAATGCATATACACCATGTAGCAAAACAGTGGGGAAAAAAAGATGGTACTGGCGTACAGGCCAATAGGACAGAATCGAGAGTTCAGCAACTAACGCATACATCTGTGATCAACTGATCTGGAGAAGGCCCGGCAGAGAGGCTGGTGTAAGTTTTTGGGGACCAGGGTTGTTGGAAGAAGGGATGAACCCTAAGAAACAAATTGTTAACTATATCTTTAACCTTCATGTGAGAGTTTCTAAGTGTCTGAAGCGTACCTTTATCTGGCAAAATGGGTTAGCAGTGAACACAGCCGTATTGCCCAGTGGTCAAGGCAGCTCACTAGGTTGTACCTTCAGGACCCTACCCTGTCCGAATGGGAACGGACAGAGAGGAGAAGCTTGCCCACTAGTACTGCTGCGGGCAATCTGGACCAGCACCGTGGCTGAACCAGACACCCTTTCCGAAGGTGGGAGCATGAGGGTAAAATAGTCAATGACAGGGCCAGCCTGTGGAGTGGTAGGTAAGGCAGCCGGATCCCACTGTGGGATCTGTGCAGTTCAAATCCGAGACCTGGTGGCTTCAAAACACGTCAGGCACATGTGTGTGCATGCCCAAGATCCTGCAAGGGAGGAAAATGGGGAAGGGACTGGAGTGTAACCATTCCCCATGGTCAGCACTTCCTCACTTGCTTTCTCTCTCTCTTTCTCTGTCTAGCGAGAGCATGTGTCCTCTGACAAATTTAAAAAAAAGAGAAAAATCAGTGACAAATGGAGAGGAGAAAGAGTAGCCAAGGTTAAAGAATGAGTAAGTGACTTACACAATAAGGAAAATCCAGTATTATATTAACACTTCAAGAGAAGCTCAGAGCAGAAGAACATTGTCTCCCAGCTCAGTTATACCAGATGCCTGAATGGGAGAAGGCAGACGTCTGCCAAGAGCTCTCCTGCCTGTGGCATCTGACCCGGTCCAATACAAGACTGCAGAGCTGAGAGGCAGCCCTCTGCGAGACGCCTGGCTACCTGGAAAATGCTAAACTGGACTAAGTGGTGATGACTGAGTCGAATTCTAGTAATGTGCCAGTGTCTTTTATCCTTTTATTTGAACATTTATTTTATTACCACTCTATTTTTAGGGCAGTTTTAGGTTAACAGCAAAACGGAGTAGGTAGTGTATATATACCACACACCTGCTCTCCCCCCTTGTTTCCTCTAAGATCTTGCCTACGGGTTCCAGCTGATGAGCCGATACTGCTACACCACTAGCAACTGAAGTCCAGGTTCCATTTGGGCTCCCTCTTCCTGTCTGTACCATTCTATGTGTTTTGACAAATGCAAGATGTCATACAACCACCATTATAATACAATACACAAGGGACCAGCAGATGGCATAATGGTTATGTCACTGGATTCCCATATTATTGACTGCAGTTCAAGTCCTGGACCTGGCAGCTTAAAACTCACACCACGTACATGTGCATGTGTGCCCAAAATCCTGAGAGGATTGCAACGTGGCCATCCCCCCGCGGGGGTGATTTCTCCCTTTCTGTCTCTCTTTTTCTGTCTCTCCAGTGAACGCACGTGCCCTATAGCAAACCTCTCTCTCTAAAAAAAACAAAACAAAACAAAACAAAAAAATATACATGCTAGTGCCACTGCCCTAGCAACCCTCTGGGTTCCACATAGCCACCCTTTCCATCCATCCTTCCCAAGGCCCTGGCAATTACTGAATGTTTTACTTTCTCTACAGTTTTATCTTTTCCAGAATGTCATATGGTTAGAATCATAAATTATGTAACTTTCAGACTGGGCTCTTTCACTTAGCAATATGGAGGCCAATATCTTCTAACATTCATTCATTCATTCATTCATTTGGAGAGATTATTTTTTGCTAAAGGGTGCATGCGCTTACCAGAGAGACTGTAAGAGGGAAAGTGAGAAATCACAACCCAGGGGCAATGGCCATGCTGCAATCCCTTCTCCTCTGTTCTCCTCCTGGGATTTCGGGCACACACGCACATGTGCCCAGTGTGAGTTTCTAGTCACCAGGTCCAGGATTTGAATTGCAGTTGGCCATATGGGACTCCAGTGTCTTAATCACTACACCATTGGCTGGACTCCTCTTATTTTTAAACATTATTTTTTATGAGAGAGAGGAGAAAGAGGGAGAGAATGATTTTTGACAAGATCTCACCATGTCAGGATCTCCTGCCCCAGCCTCCCAGCTGGCTAGGACCACAGGTGCACACCACCGCACCTCTGGCCTGTTTAGGATGCGCCAGGAATGGAACCTGGGCCTCCCATATAACCTCAGCCTCCAAGCAGCAGGGTCTTTGCACTGTGAGCCACTGTGGCTGCGCCTTTTGACTTTTATTTCCAGGTTATATCTGCTATGAAAGACAGCACTGGGAAGGAATTCCTGGGACCTACTCCCAGGCGGCCCACTGGCTGGCGTGGTCTACAACTCGTCACGCTGTGCTAAATACCTGAGTGAACCAATGCTCAGGAAGACCTCTGGTTATGATGGACGGCACACCACAGTGTGCCACAGGCTTGACTACTCACCACTCTTGTTTTTGTGAATAAAAGCTATTGAAAGAATGCTGAGTCAGAGTACAAGTCCTTTCCCAACAAAGGATGGTTTCTAGAATCATCCAGCTTTATTTGTTGAGCGAGTCTAACCACTACATTAAAGCTTCATCTTTCTCAACCAACTCCCATTCTGTGCCTTCCTCCAGGAGGAGAACTCACTTTAATCAGCTTACTCCTTTAACGGATCCTTTCCCTTGAACATTGCTCACTAAATGAATCCACGCACAAACCAACACTTCTCTCACCGACAGCCTTATTCTGTGGGCAGTGCCATGCACTCGCTGGTGTGTACTAACATCCCAGGAGCAGTTAGGATATAATGTTGGTGTCCCAGGCTAGGGTTAAGTGACTGGCAGTCATATCTGCACGGAGGTCGGCCTGAGTATGCCACACAGCCTCCCCTTCTGTGTCTTGAGGTGGGGCTGTTCCCAGGGAAATCTGAACCCACCATGTGATGCCACTGCTTAAACCTATCAGAAACCCATTTTTCCACCATTCTTTTTCACTTTTTACCATAGGATGTGTGCACTTGCAAGAGACAAAGAAAGTGAGAAGGCATCCCTGGATGTGGGGGTTGGCTACACCACAATCCCTTGTCCTTCATTCTCTTGAGACCTTGGGCATGCTCGCACATGCACCTGTCATGTTTTTCAAGCCGCTGGGTCCAGGACTTGAACTGTGTGCAGTCAACTATATGGGATCTAGTGCTTTAACCACCATGCTGGCCCATTAAGGCTTTTTTCAGTTGCCAGAGGGCATAAGCATTATCAAAGAAAAGAAAAAGAGAGGGGAAGTACCCCCAATATGGTCATGCTACAATCCCTCCTCTCCCTCTGGTCAGGATTTTAGCGACAAGGCCAAGATTCAAAATGTGGTCGGCAATGAGGGATCTGAGTGCCTTAAACACTAGGCTACAGGGCTGGTCCCCTCAAGGCTACTTTAATACAGGCAGAAGCCAGAGTAGTCCTGAGGCCATGGCCCTCTCTCCACCCTAGCTGCTGAGGCCCTAGAATCACACCTATGGAAATCTAATGGATCACAAGCCCTCTAGGGGAACTTATAATTTATATCTCTGCACCATGATGGCCAAGAACAGGTCAAAATAAGCCACCTCTGAAGTACAGTTGGTAGGAATAAATTATTCTGAATACCACTGCTTCCTACCCATAGGAGGGAGGTGGCCCTGCGGTATAACAACACACAATAGAAACCAGTCTCAGTAAAGACTGGCTTTGTCCCCACCTGTCTTGGAAACCAGAAATAACTGAATCACAGCCAGCTATAACCATGCCTGCCCGCAGCAGTAGCTGATACATGGGAGAGGGCGATTTTGTCAGGAAGGCACAGTAGTACCTTTGCAAGTCTTCCCGATCTGTTCTGTAATGCAACTGCATTTTACCATGACCACACTGCTAGCTGGTACTGCACACTGGCATTGTTGGTATAGATCCAACCACCTCATGTAAATAAGTCCTAGAATAACACTGACATTGATGATCAAATATAAGCCTCCCTGGAAGGTAATGAAAATGACTGGCCCAGGAAGAACTGGATTTACCTAACTACCAGCGAATTAATTTCTAGGCTAAACAGTTCCATGCAAGTCTCTGTGTGTGTTGGGGGCAGGGGAGGCTACTGAAAAATTAGAACAAAATGATGAAAATGTGTGGGACAGCTTTATAGGACAGATAGGTGGTTTCTTTAAGCCCACCCACCCCACCAGCTCCTCTGAATGTTAAGCGTATTCATGTCGACACTATCGCTGCGTCTGTTGCATAAATGCTATGTTAAATACTGATGCTCGGACATAAGAGAGCGTGGGCCAAGGGCCAGGGGGAGCCTGTGCAGCACAGGACTAACTCAGCAGCCCTGGATTGTCCGAACCCTGCACATTCCAAAAGAAGTTTAGCTACTGATCAGCCCCTGAGAGATAACCTCCAAACTCTTGGACTATCTTGTTCTGTAAGTGTCTTTGTTCCCAAGGAGTTAAGGGGGTGGTAGGAAAAAGAGAGTGACTGCTAAGAGACACGGGGCTTTTTTGTCTTCCATGATAAAAAAAAAAGTCTTGAGGGGCCAGCAGGTGGCATGGTGGTTAAGGCGCTGGCCTTCCACATGGCTTATCATGGTTCGAGTCCCTGACCTGGTGGCTTACTTTCTCACTTTCCATCTCTCTCTCCCTCTCTCTCTGGTGAGTATGTGTCCTATAGCAAAAATTTAAAAATTAAAATAATAAAATAATTTTTTAAAAGAAAGTCCTGAAATCAATTGTGGTAATGGTTGTGCAACACTGAATATACCAAAACCTGTTGAATTGTGCATTTTAAACGGGTGCAGCGTATGGCATGTTGATTATGTCTAAATACAGTTGTTAGGAAAAAAAGAATGAAGTCATCTTGTACGTGACAGAAAATCCAACAGGAACGACAGTACTACTCCGAGTTCCCCTCCTCTCACCTTCATTACATCACCTCGGCTCCTGCATGTCCAGTTTCTCTGAACACAGCCCCACCCTGCCCCCCACAGCTCAGCCTCACAGCCCATAGTGCCCGCTAGCCGTGGAGGGCTGTCCTCTACCTGGGTCTGCTTGATCAGCTGATGGAGCTCTGTGAGAAGTTCTGCAATGCGGGAATCAGCAGACACGAGGGCCATGGTGGGTGCCTGGTGGGGAAGGGAGTACAGAAGAGAGCTCTGTTAGTGGCCGCTGTGGGTTGATTTGTGTCCCCTCAAAAGAAACATTTAAGCCCTAACCCTGGTAGCTGTGATTGTGACCACATGTGGGAACAGGGTCTCTGCAGATGTAATAAAGACATACACCGGGTGGTGGCACAGTTCTAAAGCAACTGGACCCACATGAGAAAGGTCCTGTGCTTGTGTCTTGGGACCTCCCCGAGCACACCAGGCAGGCACACCTGCTGTGATTCAAGATGGCATGAAAACCCTGTGGCAGGGGAGGGTGCCTGTCTCTATCTCTTGTGGAAGAAATCAACTTTTAGAAAAAAAAAACAATGAGGACATCCTGGAATGAAGGGGGGCTTCTACTCTAGCCTGACTGGTACCCTTACAAGAAGAGAGACAGAAACAGAGGCACACGGGGGACAGACAGACAGAGGCTGGAGTTAAACATCTAGGCCACGGAAAGCCAAAGACAGCTGGCCACCATGCAACCAGCTTGGAGAAGAGCATGGAACATTCTCCTCTGCGTCCCCCCAAAGGGACCAACCCTTGATTCTGGAATCAGGCGCACACCCTGATTTTGGCTGTCCTCTGGAACTAGTGAGAGAATGCGTTTCTCTTGTAAGCCACCCAGTTTGTGGTAACTTGTTAGAGTGGCCCTGAGGAACGAGTACAGTGGCAAGCAGTTCTGGGATTCTTCCCATCCCAATGGCACGTCTGTCTTTGACATATTCTACCGAGTCAAGGTGTTTTCATTCAGGGCCTCCACAAGCAGCATGCTCCAGCCCCAGCTCTGCTGCTAACACCCTGGCAAAGGACTCAGGCACTCTGCTGTCCATTTTTAATCTGTAAAGCAGGGTTTGCTGTTGTATTTTTTTTTCTTTTTTTTTTTTTGGAGAGGTTTCTGCTATAGGGCATGTGCGCTCGCCAGACAGACAGAGACAGAGAGATAGACAGTGCGAAATCACTCCCCAGAGGGGATGGCCACACTGCAATCCCTTCTCCTCCATTCTCCTCTCAGGATCTCTCCCTGGGGGATGGCCATGCCGCAATCCCTTCTCCTCCATTCTCCTCTCAGGATCTCTCCCTGGGGGATGGCCATGCCGCAATCCCTTCTCCTCCATTCTCCTCTCAGGATCTCTCCCTGGGGGATGGCCATGCCGCAATCCCTTCTCCTCCATTCTCCTCTCAGGATCTCTCCCTGGGGGATGGCCATGCCGCAATCCCTTCTCCTCCATTCTCCTCTCAGGATCTCTCCCTGGGGGATGGCCATGCCGCAATCCCTTCTCCTCCATTCTCCTCTCAGGATCTCTCCCTGGGGGATGGCCATGCCGCAATCCCTTCTCCTCCATTCTCCTCTCAGGATCTCTCCCTGGGGGATGGCCATGCCGCAATCCCTTCTCCTCCATTCTCCTCTCAGGATCTTCGGCACGCACGCACACGCGCCCGGCGTGAGTTTAAGCCACCGGGTCTGGGACGTGAACCGCGGTCGACTACATGGGAGTCCAGCGACATAGCCATTATGCTAACTGCTGGTCCCCGCTGTTGTATTTTGACAGAGCCAAATAAAATTTTCTCTGAAGACACTTTCCGCATCATAAGGCATGGCTACTTCCTTCTGTTGTGGAAGAAAGATAAGTTAACTACTGAAAAATATCTCACTCAAGGTAAGAGGAATATATTCTGATGAAAATAAAATGCTTTCTCACAATAAAAGGTAATTAGAAAAAAAATAAAAAGACCGAAAACCATAATAAAAAGAGCAAGTTATAACTCAGTGAAAGCTAAATGTGTATTACATAAAATAAGAGGAATTTTCTTTTTAAGAATTATTTATTGGGACCAGCAGTTAGCATAATGGCTATGTCGCTTGACTCCCACGGAGGCGACCGCGTCCCGGACCCTGTGGCTTAAACTTAACCTGGGTGCGTGTGCATGCATGCCCAGGATCCCGAGAGGAGAATGGAGGAGAAGGGATTGCGGCATGGCCATCCCCCCTTTGGGGGTGATTTCTCACTTTCTATGTCTTTGTCTTTCTGGCAAGCACATGCACCCCATAACAAAAACTTCTCCAGAAAAAAAGAATTATTTAATTTTATTTCAGAGAGAGACAGAGGTGGGTGGGGGAGTGAGAAAGCAAGCCACCAGGACCAGGACTAAAAACATGGTTGGCCATGTGGGAGTGTCTAGCACCTTAACCACCATGCCACTTGCTGGTCCCAATAAGAGGAATTTTCTAGGGTGCTGAAATTTTGCATGATACCCTAACTCTTAAAAATATTATCTAAGGGGGACCAGCAGATGGTATGGTGGTTAAGGTGCTGGACACTCCCATGTGGCAGACCATGGTTTGAGTCCTAGACCTGGTGGCTTGCTTTCTCACTCCCTGCTCCCCCCCCGTCTCTGTCTTTCCCTGGTCGAAATTAAAAATGAATAAATAAAATTAAATAAATAATAATTCTTTTAAGAATTTGTCTAGGGGGACCAGCAGATGACATAATGGTTATGTCGCTGGACTTGCACGTAGTTGACTGTGGTTCGAGTTCCAGACCTAGCAGCTTAAACTCACCTGGGTGCATGTGTATGTGCATGTGTGACCAAGATTCCAAGGGACTGTGGCATGACCATCCCCCAGAGGGGTGATTTATCACTTTCTTTCTTTCTCCCTCTCTTTCTGGTGAGCACTATATATATATAAAGTCTAGAGACCAGCAGATAGCATAATGGTTTACGTTGCTGGACTCCCACATAGTTGACTGTGGTTCAAGTCCCAGACCTGGCAGCCTACATGACTGACTTCAAGGTTTGAGTCCTGGACCAAGGCTTGAAAATCACACCAGGTGCATGTACATGCATGTGCAAAATCCCAAGAGAATGGAGGAGAAGGGACTGTAGGGAGAGTGATTTCTCACTTTCTCTCTCGCAATGTGCTCAATAACAACAAAAAATTCAGACGGTGCATGTGCAGAGAGAGAGAGGAACAGGTAGAAAGGATTGCCGTGGGCATGGTCATGCCCCAGTCTCTCTTCCATTTCTCCCTCCTTTCGTGATTTTGGGTGTGCACACACATGCACATGCATGTTTTTCATACTGCCAAGTCTGGAAATTGAACTGCAAGGTTGGCCACATGGGATCCAGCCGCCTTAACTACCAGGCCACAGGCTGGCACACACGTTTTGATTCAAAGAAAGCCCAATTTATCTGTCTTTGGCTGCTTGTGATATTGATCTGGTTTTTCCCCCACTTATGCAACACTATTTTTACCACCACAGCTTTACATAATGCCTTTTCTCTTAACGAAAAACATGTCCCTTAAAAAAAGAGTCTAGTGGGACCAGCAGATGGTGTAACAATTATGTCGCTTGACTCCCACGCAGTCGACTGCAGTTCAAGTCCCAGAACCAGCAGCAAAACTCACACCAGACATGTGAGCATGCATGCCCAAGATCCCAAAAGGAGAGTGAGAAGGGATTGTGTTATGGCCATCCACCCTGGAGGGTGATTTCTCGCTTTCTGTCTCTTTGTCCGTCAAGCACACATGTCGTATAGCAAAAATCTCTTACAAAACAACAACAACAGTCTAGTTGCACCAGCTAGAACATAAAATAACGGATCTGTAGTTTATACATCAGAGAATGCTCGGTCTATGGGAACTGACGGTGGTAGAGTAAGTGAAAAGCTGAAGGAGGAACGAGCCCTGCTGAGCTCCAACAACAGTGGTGAAATGGGGGCAGAAGATGGGAATGCTGAGAGAAGAGGGAGGGCATGGATTAGCACACAAAAACGTTCTCTCCTGCGAAAGCAGGGATCCAGGCTGCCTGAAGCCTTCTACGCACTGGCACCTGTGCGTATAAATTGCGGGCAGCCCCATGGCTGTGACAGGCTTTACTTTACAGTGAGTGGTCAAAGCAGCAAACGTTCCCACTATGCCGCCAGGTCCTCCCGAGTCTGATACTTCGCACCTTCCCTCTTCAACACCGTTGCTCCTGCCCTCAGACTTGGGTCTGGGTCCTCATAGCTGATGTCTGGGGTTCTTTCTACGCTCAAACCGGAAGGCAGGGAACCTGTCCCCACCATTGAAACTACAGACTGCACAGCCGCAGCGGTCGCCCCTGCCGTCCCCTATCCTGAGAATTGCCTCTCTGTGCTCTGAACCTCCCCTCCCCTCCGCCTGTCTGACAGGCCTTTCTCCTATACTTTATCAGCAAACCAGCACACGTTAGGAGAGCTCGCCTGGAAAAAACAAGGGCTTCCAGACCCCACTCCCCCTCTAGCTGTCCACTCATCCCTGTTCTCTTCACAGCATAACCTTCTGTTAAGTGGCTCTATTTTTTTAAGTCTATTTATTTCTTGACAGAGAGGTAAGGGAGGAAGAAGGCACTCCCAATGGGATCTCCATCCCACGATCCACCCCAGCCTCAGCTAGCCCAAACCACTAGGCCATGTTCATACATCTGACATGCTCAGGGAGGTCCCAACATGCAAACCCAGGACCTTGTCATGTGAGCTCAGCATCACAGAGCAGTGTGTGACCAATGTGCCACCACGGCTGTTCCCCAAACTCTATTTTGAAGTTTATTTATCCCATATGTGCGTGTGTGAGAGAGGAGGAGACAGAGAGATGGTGATGACACCCCGAGTGGGGTTTTGACACCACAGTCTAGCCCCAGCTCCAGCCAGCCCTGGATCATGAGCAAGTGTGTGCCCACATACTCAGCAGTCTCCAGCCATGAACCAGAACCCAGAACCACCCCATGTGGGTCAGTCTCACGGGCCATAGTGTTTTACCACTGCACCACTGCCCGACCCCTCCCCCAAACTTCTTAAATGATACGTTGTCCGAACATGTGCTTCTACTTCCTTAACCCCACTTTACTCTTGCACTCACTCCGATCTGGCTTCTGTCCTCACCCATCCAGAGAAAACGCTCTCATCAAGAGAGCCAGTAATCACCACGGGCCAAAGCACCAGCTCCCTTTGTGCTT